GGCAGCGCCACGGGCAGGGGTTGGTGGGCAGGAGGCTCACCCCTGTCCCCGTGCTGTCCCCAGCGTGCACCAAGGTGACACCCTCACCCCAGAAGGATGCCTACTGCCCGGCAGCCGGGAGTCGGTGACCCGGGGGTCCCAGGTGGCTGGGTCTCAGGAGCTCCTGGCCTTGCCCCAGAACCGGAACCGGACGGCCAGTGAGCTCCTCCTGAGCAGGTATGGGGGATGTGGGGACCGTGGGGCTGGGGCTGGGGGGTGGCAGGTCTGGCTCACCACCCCCTGCACCCCACAGGAGGGTGTGCTTCTCTGAGCTGGAAGAATCTGAGAGGTTTTATCGGTCCCACAACCGGTTCCTGAAGCTGCTGCTGGCTGGCTACCGCTGTGTGACCGCCCACTCCGAGCTGCTCTGCTACTTCATCATCATCATCAACAACATGGTGACCGCCTCCGTCATCTCCCTCTTCCTGCCCATCCTCGTCTTCCTCTGGGCCATGCTCTCCATCCCCAGGCCCAGCAAGCGGTTCTGGATGACGGCCATCATCTTCACTGAGGTGGGCAGAGGGTGGCTGGGGAGGGGATGATGCCACACTGGCTGTCACCTGCTGACCCCAATGTTCCCACAGGTCATGGTGGTAGTGAAATACCTCTTCCAGTTTGGGTTCTTCCCTTGGAATGGCTATGCCATGCTGGTGCGCAATGAGGGCAAGCCCTTCTTCCCACCCCGCATCCTGGGCTTGGAGAAGACTGACAACTACATCAAGTATGACCTCATCCAGCTCCTGGCGCTCTTCTTCCATCGCTCCCTGCTGCTGGTGAGTCCTTGCACTACTGTGGGCATTGCCTGGGTGGGCATCCCTGGGAGCTGGAGGTGCTCCTGGGGATGATGGGGGGTCTAGAGTGGATTCTTGGTGGCTCTGCCTTGGCTTCCACCCAAGGCACCCATTGCTGGTTGGACCCTTGGGGTGCAACGGGAGCTGATGCTGCAGGATAGGGGGTGAGGTGCGTGGGGGGCATCAGGAACCGCATCCCACTGACCACACTCCTCCCCAGGCCTATGGGCTGTGGGACCATGAGGAGGACCCCTTCGCAAAGAAGGAAGCAGAGGTAGAGCAGGCAGAGGAGGAGGAGAGGCGGGAGGAAGCAGTGTCCCCAACGCTGCCAGCGGGTGAGAAAAGGACAGAGGCACGGGCAGAGCCGGAGGCACCGGGCGCAGCCACGGGGCCGGAGCAGGAGGGCAACGTGGGGCAGGAAGAGAAGGGCAAGGCCACACAGCTCCGCTTCAGGAGGAAGAGATGGCGGAGGAAGGAGCAGCTGGAGGCAACTCCAGAGGAAGGTGAGTGCTGATCCCCAGCCCTCACTCCCCAACAAGGGGCAAGGCTGGCGTCCCCCAGGGCGGAAGGGTGCTGGGGCTGGGTGGGATGTGGTCCCACAAGACCCTGGAATGTCACCCATGCTGTGCCTCGCCCACCAGAGCATGTGGAGGAAAAGGAGGAGGTGGAAGAGAAGAAAGAGGAGGAGGAGGAGGAAAATAAGGAGGAGGAAGAAGAGGCAAAACAGAGCCACGCTCAGAAGAAGCTGAAGGTGTTTGGGCTGCGGGTCAAGCTCTTCTTCCTCACCATGTGAGTGCCCTGTAGAGCTGGTTGGGGTGGGGGAATGTGGAGTGCAGGCCCTCATCTTTCCCCTCTGTCCTCTGTCACCTCCAGGGCGCAGAACGTATACCAGCCAGTGCGTGGATTCTTCTGGGACATCCTGCACACCCAGCACCGGGCAGCCACTGATGTCTATGCCTTCATGTTCCTGGCTGACGTGGTCGACTTCATCATCATCATCTTCGGCTTCTGGGCCTTTGGGGTGAGCAGGGGGTTCCTGCAGGGCACTGACCGGCCAGCTCCCACCACGGGGTCACCATATCCTGACCTCTCCTGCATCCCCAGAAACACTCAGCGGCCACCGACATCACCTCCTCGCTGTCAGATAACCAAGTGCCACAGCCCTTCCTGGTCATGCTGCTCATCCAGTTCGCCACCATGGTCATCGACCGCGCACTCTACCTCCGCAAGACCGTGCTGGGCAAACTCATCTTCCAGGTCATCCTGGTCTTCGGCATCCACCTCTGGATGTTCTTCATCCTGCCAGCTGTCACCGAAAGGTACCAAGCATCCCCCAAGGATGTCCTCAAGGGCACAGTGTGGTTCTAAGTTGGCACGTCTCTGTCCCCCATCCCACGAGGTGGCCCAGCTTATTTGGAGAGGTGGCCAGAGGGATGACATCTCTCTCCCACAGGTTGTTCAGTCTCAACATAGTCGCCCAGCTGTGGTACTTTGTGAAGTGCATCTACTTCTCGCTGTCAGCCTACCAGATCCGCTGCGGCTACCCCACCCGCATCCTGGGCAACTTCCTCACCAAGAAATACAACTACCTCAACCTCTTCCTCTTCCAAGGGTACGGCATGGGGTCATGTGGACAATTGGGTGCCCAGAGAGTGCAGTAACAGCCCCCTCTTCCTGTGTACCCCCCAGGTTTCGCCTCGTGCCCTTCCTGGTGGAGCTGCGGGCTGTCATGGACTGGGTCTGGACAGATACTACACTGTCCCTCTCCAACTGGATGTGCGTGGAGGACATCTACGCCAACATCTTCATCATCAAGTGCAGCCGTGAGACGGAGAAGGTACAGCCCCAACAGGCTGGAAAGAGCCCCCCAGTAAGCCCCTTGTTGTTTGGGATCCCCCCAAGCCTACCTGCCACTGTGTGCTGTCTCCTCTCCCCTAGAAATACCCCCAGCCCAAGGGACAGAAGAAAAAGAAGATCGTGAAGTATGGCATGGGGGGCCTCATCATCATCTTCCTCGTGGCCATCATCTGGTTCCCGCTGCTCTTCATGTCGCTGGTGCGCTCCGTGGTGGGCGTTGTGAACCACCCCATCGACGTCACCGTCACCCTCAAACTGGGGGGGTACGAGGTGAGGATACAGGGGAGGTGCTGGGGTGCCCAGCTTGGACGCCGGGGTCCTGTGCCCTGCTGACAGTGCCCTGTCCCTTGTCCTCCCCCCCCCCAGCCACTGTTCACCATGAGCGCCCAGCAACAATCCATCCAACCCTTCACCCCCGAGGACTACGCAGACCTCACCAACGAGTTCGAGAGGCAGCCGGTAAATGCCACCCCCACCCCAAAAAACCCCTTATCCTGTTCCATCCTGCTGTGGGGCTGGCAGGGTGTCCTTGGATGGGGGCTGAGCTGTGCTCCCCCCTTTCTCCTCTTCCCCTGCACCAGGTGGCCATGCAGTTCATCACGCTCTATGGCTACGAGGACATCGTGACCGCCCGCATCGAAGGCAGCTCGGGCTCCCTCTGGAGCATCAGCCCCCCCAGCAGGGAGCAGATGCAACGGGAGCTGCAGAACGGCACCTCCGACATCACCCTCCGCTTCACCTGGACCTTCCAGAGGTACCACCAGCACGGGGAGGGGGGGTGGGGGGAAATTTGGAGGCCAACCCTGTCCGTCCCCCATCTTCCCCACATACACACTCAGCCTCTGCTGCCCGTTCTGCCCGCAGGGACCTGGGCAAGGGGGGGACGGTGGAGCACACCTACGACAAGCACACCACCGACCTGCAGCCCGGCGCACGCCAGCGCGTGGAGCTGGCCCAGCTCCTGCAGGGCACCCGCAGCACCCCCGTGTGAGTGTCCCTGGGGAGGGGACACCCCCCCTCTCCACCCCCTGTCATGCTCAGGTTGGGTGGTTTTCTTTCCCTTCGCCCCGCTCACCCCACTTTCTTGCAGGCGAGTGCCCAACCTCTTCCCTAAATACATCCGGGCACCCAATGGCCCTGAAGCCACCCCAGTCAAGCAGCTGCTGCCAGGTGGGTCCTACGATGTCCCCCCCACCCCCAAAAAAAAAACCAATGAGTGTTGAGGCCACACCAGTGGCCATGCTGTACCCTGACGGTGCCGCCCCCTCGGCAGATGGGGAGGACAGCTACTTGGATGTGGAGGTGCAGCTGAAACGGGAGCGTGCAGGGGCCGGCCGAGGGAGCGACAGCTTCTTGGAGTGGTGGGTTGTGCGGCTGAAAGAACCCCCCAGCCGCGACGGCAACATCCTCCCCATGGTCATCTTCAACGACAAAGTCAGCCCCCCCAGCCTGGGCTTCTTGGCTGGCTACGGGTACGTGGAGGGAGTGCAGGGGGTGGCAGTGGGGGGACCACCGGGCTGCACCCCAAAAAGGTTGCAAAGCTGGGGGTGAGAGAGGGTGTATGTGGGCTACAGGATGTTCCACCCCCTTGCAGGATCATGGGGCTGTACGTCTCCATCGTGCTGGTGATCGGGAAGTTCGTGCGGGGTTTCTTCAGCGAGATCTCGCACTCCATCATGTTCGAGGAGCTGCCCTGCGTGGACCGCATCCTGAAGCTGTGCCAGGACATCTTCCTGGTGCGGGAGACGGGCGAGCTGGAGCTGGAAGAGGAGCTCTACGCCAAGCTCATCTTCCTCTACCGCTCCCCCGAGACCATGATCAAGTGGACACGGGAGAAGGAGTAAGGGGAAGGGGCTATGGGCCACCTCCCCTTCCCGGGGACATCACCGTCAATGCCTTAACCAGCCCCCCCCAACCCCCCCCGAAAGCTGGGGCCGCATCCTCCTGGGGGAGGCAGTGGGACGCAGGGTACTCGGCGCTCGCTTTTAGGGAGGATGTTTTTCTTACGTTGTTTTGGGGCCATCCGACCTGCGGAGACCACGTTGTGCCTTCCTGGGGCTGGAGGACAGGAGCTACACCCCCCCACACTCAACCCCACCTGCTGGGCACCCCTGGCTGTTGGGGAAGGGGGAAGATGGGGGTGTCAGGAGCTGGCCCGAGCCCCCTCCCCTCTCTCCCCAGTCCTGCTCCAGAACCAGGTTGAACTCAAAAGCAATAGCCCCCCAGCATGGGGGGCCTTGGGTCATGGCCCACCCCCCACCCCAAGCTGCGGGTGGGGCTGGCAGCCCCAGCTGGACTCTAGACACTTGTGACTTTGTTTTTGGGTTGTTTTGTTTGTTTTGTTTTGTTTTGTTTTTTATTAATTCAAATGGTTTATTTATACAGATATCTAATAAAACAAAGCTGAGGCCTCCCCGGCTCATGTGTAGCTGGGGGAGGGAGAAGGGGGTGCAGGGGGATCTCCTGCCTCCAGGGGGGACCAGCACCCTTAGCCCCCACATTGAAGGGGGGGGTGGGGGCTCCCCTGCCCCCCAGCTGTAACCAAAATGGGGTGTAAAAGCAGCTGCAGGAGGTCCACAGAGGCGTTGGTCCTCCACCATCCTGGGGCGGGGAGTGCCACCCTGCCCCACGGGTACACCAGAGAGATGGGGGTCTGTGTGCCCCACTGTGCCCAGCCCCTTCAGCTCTTGCCGGGCTCCTCGTTCTCCAGTGGGACTTCCTGGCTCTGCTGCTCCATCTGTGCCCTGCGAGGGATGGACAGGGCATGGATGGAGGTGGCATCGGGGACTGAGCCAGCAGGGAGAGGAGGGAACCCCAGTACCTGAGGATCCTGCGCTGGGCCTCGGCGCGCACGTAGGGTGGCAGCGTGGCGAGGGGACCCTGCAAGAGAGGAGCTGTAGGGATGGGGACCCCCATCCCCACAAGGAGAGCCACCCTGCTGTGCCCCAAAAGCCTTACCAGTTCCTTGAAGGTGAGGCGGCAGCCGTAGCACAGCAGCGGGATGAAGGCAGCTTTGCTCTCAGCCCTGTGGGGACAGGGACCCTCAGAGGTGCTGGCACGGTGGCCCTGGTGTGGGCATGACATTGTCCCCCCAACCTTCCCCCATGCTCACCCCGCTGCTGGGGTGTCCTGGCAGCACCCGTCCCCCACCGGCTCGGTCTCCTCCACGATGAGCGTGGGCTCCAGGGCCAGCTCCTCCTCTGCAAGAGCCAGAGAGCAAGGCATATGATGGGGGCTGCATGGCTGCCCCCCACCCCCTAATACCCCTGGCTGCCCCCTCCCCAGCCCCTGCTCACCCCCAGCAATGTCCAGGGCGCACAGGCAGAGGAGACAGCGCTGGGACTCGCTGCTCGCCTTGGCTGGAGCTGGGCTCAGCTTCTCACCTGTCCTGCAGCCAACGTGGTGGGGGGTGAAGGATGCACATCGCTCACCCCAAACCCCCCACGCCAGAGTGTCCCCACACAGGGGACACCGTACCTGTAGACGGTGCTGATGGTGGAGGGGAAATCCTCCTGCAGTCCCAGGAGGAAGCGCTCAATCAGGTCGTGGATGCTGGGCTTCTCGTGGCGCTGGAGGAGTGAGAGGAGAAGACAGGGGTGGAATTGGGGGGGTTCCCATCTCCATCGTAGGGACGTGGAGCTTGGGATCTCCCTGTGGGATGTGGGGGACAATCCCTACCTTGGTGGGGAGGGGTGGCGCGATGACAGTGGGGACATTGAAGAAGTGGTTGTAGAAGGCAATCTCCTTGGCCATGTACTCCCGCATGGGACGCACCACCATCACGTCGCCGTGGCGGTTGTCCACAAAGCCCTGCAGGTGCATGGCTACTGAGGGACCGCACTCCCACCAAGCAGCAGACCCCTCCCACAGCATCGTGTCACCCATCCAGGCAAGGACAGCCATCCCCAGCTCAGCGACGGGGTAGTGGCGGGCTGCTCACCGTGTCAACAGCGAGGAAGGCACCACGACCCAACGACAGGTTGGTGAGGAGCTTGATGGCCACACGGGTGCAGCTCTCGCCTGTCATCACCTTGGTGTAGCCCTTAGTCCGGGCTGTCTGCACGATGAGGTGGGTCCTGGGGGACAAGGTGACACCGGCTCAGAGCTACTGTGCCATGCCCGTTGCCAGAGCCAGGCAGGATTGGTCCCTCACCGCAGCATCTGCAGCAGCTCTTCTCTCGCTGTCGTCGTCTCCACGGCCTTGAAGAGCTGCTGCAGCTCCTGGGTGCAGGCAGCGGTGGGCAGGCGGGGGGTGGCTGGGGACCCTGCAGGTGCATCCTGGGTGCTGAGGCCAGGCGACAAGGTGCCACCATCCCCGTTCCCCTCCTGCCGCTGCTGCTGGATGAAGCCCTCCACGGCCTCCTTGTAGGACGAGTTGGGCTTGTTGGACTTCTCCGGCCCCGGCTGCAAGATGGATGCGGGCAGCTCCAGTGCCTGTGGGGCAGAGATAAGTACCAGGGGGAGGCTGGGGGTGGTCAGGCGTGTCCAACCCATGCCACCACCATACCTCCTCTAGGTGGGCCAGGTGGTAGGGGAAGCCGGTTGCCTGCAGCAAGGTCTCCATGGAGGCCAGGTTCTGCTCCCGCTGTGCCGTGCTCTGCCCACGCACCGCTCCCTCTGCAAGGCAGACAGGTGGCACCAGGGCCACCATGACAGTGAGGAGGGGGCACCCACCCCCTCCCCCGGGGTTAGGGAGACACCCCAGGGTGCCACAGCCTCGCTGGGCTGGGTGGCAGCCCCCAGTCCTGGCACGGCGCAGATGGACCCTACACCAGGGGTGGGCAGTGGGGCAGGGAGCGGGCAGCAAAGGGGCAGTGGGGTTGATCCTTACCATCAACGTAGATGAGGCCAGGGATGAAGCGGAGCTTCTTGGCTGTCTCCCGGCTGAGCCCCTGGCAGAGGCACAGGGTGAGGGTGGTGGGTGAGCCGTGGCCCACCCATCATCCCCAAGGTCCACCCATCATCCCCACTCTCACCTCCTGCACCTGCCGGACCATGGCGCTGGAGGCTGCCCCCCCTGACACTGCCAGCAGCACCTGCGGGGACAGAAGGGTTGGTCACCAGTCCCACCGCTGCCACCCAGGTCCCCCCAGCGCCCACGTCCCCCCCTCAGTACCTTCTCTCCTGGGAAGATGACGCGGTTCTTGCCAAGCATCGCGCGGAACTTGTGCACGAAATACTCGTGGAAGCAGTCGCTGTGGGGACACAGCCCTGAGCCACGGCATGTCCCACCGCCCTCATGTCACCCACCCACAATGTCCCTCAGTCCCCTGACTCTGAGCCCTGCTGTCCCCAAACCTTGATAACCCTGAGACCCAGTGCTCCCAAGCCCTGATGTCCCAGAGATGGTTCCATGCCCTGATGTTTCCAAACACCAATGTCCCCACGATCAGCATCCCCAAGCCCTGCTGTCCCCAAATCTTGGTGTCCCAGTGACCCAACGCCCCTAAGCCTTTATGTCCCCACACATTGCAGCCCCCCATCCCCACCCCATCCCAGTCCCTCACCGGCAGAAAGCGTCCCCGAGGCGGATGATGAGGGCGGCAGAGCCCTGTTTGCACTTCATGCAGGGCCGTGGGTGGCTGTAGGAACACAGACGGTCACCGGGGCCACAGGACGGTACCGAGCGGAGAGGGGGGGGGCGGGATGGCGATCCCGGTCCTGACCCACCCCAGATGATACCGGGGACGGTACCGGGGAGGTACCGCAGGCAGCACTGGGAGATACTGGGGAGGTGCCAGAGGAGTACCGTGGGGGGGAATCGGAGGTGGCAACGGGGGGAAGCACCGGGGGTACTGGAGAGATACCGGGTACGGCACCGGAGGGTACCCAGGGCTGCCATGGGGGGATTCTGGAGACAGCAACGGCGGGGTACGGAGGTATACCGCGGACAGCAGCGAGCAGTACCGGGGACAGCCCGGGAGGGAGTACCGGAGGGATACCGGGGGGTACCGGCGGGGTGTTGGGGACGGTAACGGAAGCGGCCGGGGCGGGGGAGGCCAGCCCGTGTCCCGCGCCGGGCTCTCACCTGTGTGCCGAGAGGCGGCGGCGCCGTGCCGGTGCCGTGTCCGCCCCGCACCCTCCATCGTCCTCCGCCGCCTCGCACATGGCGCTGCCGGTTCGGTTCAGTTCGGCCCCGCTCCGTCCCGTCCACGTCCCGTTCCCGGCGCGCGGCGATGACGTCGCGGCGCGCGGCGGTGACGTCAAAGCGTCGCCCCCCCCTCGCCGCCGCCGCCGCCGCCATGTTCCGGAGCCTGCTGGTGGCGGCGGCGCAACGGCCCCAGGCCCCGGGTGGTCCCCCCCGGGCGTCGCCCCCCGCCGGTCCCGCCGCCGAGGCGCTGGAGGCGCAGTTCAGCTGCCCCATCTGCCTGGAGGTCTTCCACCGCGCCGTCGGCATCGCGGGCTGCGGACACACGTGAGAGCGGGCCCCGGGGCGGGGGCGGCGGGGATCCCCCCGAGGCCTACCCTGACCACCGGGGCCTGCTCCGACCACCGGGGTCTGCCCCGACCCCCGGGGCTGGGCCCGCCGCGCTCGCTGGGCCCTCTGCCCTGTGACCCCCGCGGGCACCGGCAGCCCCCATCCCACCCCCTGTCAGCCCGGTCCCGGGACCCCCGGGTGGTGTTTGGCCTCTCTCCCTCTCTGCTGCTCGCCCCCGGGACCCCCTTCCCACCCCCAGCTGCTCCGCCAGCACAGGCAACCTTATCCTCATCTATATGTCCCCCCTGTCCCCGTGTCTTACAGTCCGGACCCGACGTTGGGTGCACCGAGGAGTCCTTCTATTGCCCACCCCCTGACCTCAGCCCCCTTCTCCCTCTGTGCCCAGACCCGGTTCTCGCCCCCGGGATCCCCCCCCGCCTCTGCTCCTGGTGCCCTGGCAGCACTGGCTGTGATCTCACCTGGGTGGGAGCCCTGCCCCGACCCCCACGTCTAGGCCACCCGTGGGTGCTGTGCCCTGGTGCACAGGGAGAGGCCACCCAGGGCACTGCCACAGGGAGCTGAGGTCTGCCTGTCACCCCAGCATTTCCATGACACCTCCTTGTTCCCCTTTAACAGCCTGATTTTGGGACACCTTGGTCTCCCATTGAAGCCATGGCTTGCTTTGGTGCCCCAGCATGGTCTTGCTCTTCCCCCCCTCCTCCAGCTCATTTGGGGCTGAGGGTACTTCATGAGGACGATGCTGGGGAGCTGGGGCAAGGGGCCCCATGACATTCCCTCCTCGTGCGGTGGCAGAGGTTTAGCAGCATGTCATTCCCCAGTTCTGGGTGACATGAGCTGGGTGGGCAGGTGGATGCTGTGACAATTAACTTTATGAGGACAGAGTTGTTTTGCCTGGAGCCTGGGGGTGCTTCCTCTCTGCTCCTTTGATTTCTCATCCGAGGCCCTGCAGGCATAAGGACCTTGAAAGGAGGTGAGCCGAGCTCTAATGCACTCGCTCGCTTTATTCCCTTCATGGCCTGGATGCTCAGTGCTGCGTTTTGTCTGGCTACATTCAAATCCGCTCCCGGCCACGGGTCTCAGAGCAGCCACATTATCTGAGTGCTGGTTGCCCATCCAGAGAGCTCCTTCTGGGCTTAGGCTGTGCCTGGTCTCCCCACACCCTCCCCCAAGCTCCCAGTTTTAGCCAGTTCCTCCCAGTGGGGGTGCTGATCCTTGAGTTTTGGGGCTGCCCTGCAGCCTGGGGTGCACAGGAGTGGATGTGCCCTGGGGCTGGGGTCCTGCAACGCCCCCTCCTCCTGGGCTGGGCTGCTCAGTGCCGCTGTCTGTACCCCCAGGTTTTGTGGGGAGTGCCTGCAGCCCTGCCTCCAAGTGCCGTCCCCGCTCTGTCCCCTCTGTCGCATGCCCTTCGACCCTAAGAAGGTGGAGAAGGCTTCCAGCGTGGAGAAACAGCTTTCGTCCTACAAGGCTCCCTGCAGAGGCTGCAGCAAGAAGGTAAAGCTCACGGGGGAAGGCTGCGCGTCCCCATCCTGCTGCCCTTCCCACAGTTGGGTTTGCAGGTCCCCAAACTGCACCTGTGAGGTGTGGTGTCCCCTCTGCGTGTCACAGCTTCTGCCATGAGCCAGGCAAGCGGGGCTGTGCGGAGATGAAGGCGCTTTCTCTTCGCTGCCTTTGTCAGCAGACTGGAGCTATTATTAGACAGTGGGGACCTTCAAAAGCAGGCTGAGGTTTTCCTGCAACACGGGAGAGGCTGAGACAAATCAGCTCTGCTGCTGCTCCTAACGACGGCTAAGGATTTAGGTCTTGTTTAAAAGTGCTGAAGGTGCCATAACCCTGTTGGCTGCTGAGGAGCTGAACTGCCAGCGTAGCCTGGGGCAGCCTGGTCTGGGACACCTCAGAGACTGGCTGTAAAGCTGTGATTCATGGTGTGTCTCTGCTGATGCACTTTCTGGCTTCTGTTAGCTTCACAGAATCACAGAATCTTCTAGGTTGGAAGGGACCTTAAAGATCATCTTGTCCAACTGTCAACCTAACTGACAAAAATAGACACCCACACAACAAACAAGGAGCATCATCACTAAACCATACCTCCCAGCATGACATCAACCCGTCTTTTGAACACCTCCAGGGATGGTGCCTCAACCACCTCCCTGGGCAGCCCATTCCAATGGCTGAGAACCCTTTCAGTGAAAAAATTTTTCCTAATATCCAGCCTGAACCTCCCCTGGCGCAACTTGAGGCCATTTCCTCTTGTCCTGTCGCCTGTGACTTGAGAAAAGAGACCGACCCCCACCTCTCTACACCCTCCTTTCAGGTAGTTGTAGAGAGCAATAAGGTCTCCCCTCAGCCTCCTCTTCTCCAGGGTGAATAACCCCAGTTCCCTCAGCCTCTCCTCATAAGACTTATTCTCCAGACCCCTCACCATCTTTGTCGCCCTTCTCTGGACTTCAGGGATCTTATAACTCCCAGGCTGTGGCCCAGGACCGACCGTACGGTGTCAGAGCAGTTTGGGGTTTCTGCCTGTCAGCACTTCCTCCTTTGCAAAGGAAAATAGAGCTGGTGCTACAATAATGCAGCCAGGGTGGCTTGTGTGTGACTTCCAGGGATGCATGTGGTGAGCATGCAGCCCTATATCTCTGTCCTTAGTGGAAGGATGGGCTGGTGCAGCGTTGCCATGTTGGTATGGGGGTCATCCTGCACAGGCCAGTGCTCGCTCTGATGTTGACTGCCCAAAACTGTTCTCCTGAGCTGTAGCGGAGGCTCCAGCGCTGCGTCCAGAAGGTGTTCCTGCAGCCTCCTGGAATGGTTCTTCTCTCCTTATTCTCCAGGTGACCCTTGCGAAAATGCGCTCTCACGTCTCGTCCTGCGCGAAGGTGCAGGAGCAGATGGCCAACTGCCCCAAGTTCGTTCCAGTTGTCCCCACGTCCCAGCCTATCCCCAGGTACTGCCACGTGTCAGGTGGGGAAACGTTGTCCCTCTTTGCTCTGGCACTCCCCTCCCTCACAAGCCTTAATATCCAAGCATAGTGTATGACTTTCCCCTGCCCAATCACAGGGAGAAACATCAGCACCTTTTCCCTCCTGGCATCTGCAGCCCCTGCACTGCCCTGTGTTCTGGAGTGTGGCATGGGAGGAAGGAACAACCAGCCCCAGGTGGTTCAGCCTGGAGTGGGAATGGGCTGGGCTGGTTTCCACCATGGTTGGGTGGCACAAAGCCAAGCAAGGGTGGCTGGATTGATTTGGAAGGAGTCGATCCAGTCACTGTCTGGGGGATCTGAGCTTGTCCTTGCTCTCTTTAGCAATATTCCCAATCGCTCGACATTTGTGTGCCCGTATTGTGGGGCCCGGAACCTGGACCAGCAGGAGCTGGTGAAGCACTGCATGGAGAACCACCGCAACGACCCCAACAAAGTGGTAAGTGACGCTGGGGCACTGGGATGGGCTGGTTCTGTGTGGGTTAACTCCTGGAAATCCAAACACGCCGTAGCTGATGCTGTGTCTGAGGCCACCAGGATACAGAGCTGCTGCTGCTGCCTGTAAACTACAGCTGTTTTTCCAGCTGGTTTAGTTTGTTTTAAATCCCTTTGATGGGAGGTGGGGACCTGCTGCAGTTTGCTTTGTTAGAGGCTCTCTGGAACAAGCTGCTTCTGTCCCCCTGTGCCTGCGACCTGGGTGGTGCTGGATTTCCTCTCCCCATCCCCGCTGGGTTGACCGAGGCAGGGAACTTACAGCTCTGGCACCATCTCAGAGGTGCTTGTGCACACGTGTGTGTAGCTTATCAGTGGGCTAAAAGCAGCCTGGGCCACGTGCCGGAGGCTCTGTGCACCAAGGGGTCTGCTTGGTGGGGTGGAGGACCTTCCTGTTTAGCACATTCTCTGCAGGACACCCTCTGTGAGAGAGAGGACACCACTACTCACCTCTCCTTTGTGTCTCCACCTCCTTGGGGGAGATGGAGGTTTATGTCAGTGAGTCACGGTTCCCCTTTGTCCCTGTCTGCTGCAGGTGTGCCCAGTCTGCTCAGCCATGCCCTGGGGGGACCCCAGCTACAAGAGCGCCAACTTTCTCCAGCACCTCCTCCACAGGCACAAGTTCTCCTACGACACCTTCGTGGTGAGTACATCGTCCCCGCGTCCTGCGCCAAGCAGCTGGGAGATGAAACCAGCCCTTCCCTTCCCGTGCCAGGATCAGCCTGTCCTGCTGTGCAGCCCCTCAGGAGGGGAAGGGGGTGGATCTCCTTTAGGCTTTGTGGGAGGCACATGGAGACCCCCAGAGGTGAGGGGCTGGGCTCCCAGCCTGCTGTCAGGGGTGCTCAAGCTGGTCCTTGTCAGCACAGCAGGAAAACGTCTCTGAAGGAGGGGAGGGAAGTGTTACTGCTCTCTGTGAAGACAGCTTGTTTCCTCCGTGTGCTCCATTAAACTCTTCCCCTGAGGAAATGTAACACAAAAGCCCTTTTCTTTGAGGCTTCCTAAGTGGGAGGGGAGCAGCTGCACGTGGGAGGTATCCACAGCCCCCCCTCTCAGGGAGTTGCTGACCCCTCCTGTGTGGGGGTAAGGGTGTGATCGCCCGGTCTTGGCTGCAGGGACTTCGGAGAGGTTTTGTTAGCATCTTGCTTTTATTGCAGGGAATGCTGGGTTTCAGGGAAAGAGACTCATAACTATTTACAGAGAAATATCCTCACCTTGGGGAGGGCTCAGTGTGTTGCATAAACCCGAGGGACCACTGGAGAGAAGCCCATGGCCTTGCTAGAAAGCTTTAGTCTCTGGCCACAGCTTGCCATGTGGGCACGTTTCATCCCTGCCTGCTGCCAGGTCTAAGAGCAGGGCTGATGTTGGCAGATTCCAGGCAGGAGAGGGTCCGTGGGCACCCAAAGAACATGGCGTTTCTGGGACCTGTTTGACAGAAGAGATGGAGGGGGCCAGTCCTGGGGGGCTAGTAAGGAGCAGGAAGGGCTCCTTGCTGCGGCCACCCCTCCTGCTCGATGGAGGCCGGGTGGTCTGGCCATGCCAGCTCTGCTGACCACCCCTCTCTGTTTTTAGGACTATAACATCGACGAGGAGGCAGCGTTGCAGGCTGCCCTGGCGCTGTCGCTCTCTGAGAACTGAGGGTGACGGCAGAGCATCGGTTCGGACCCCCCCTCACACCCCGTCTCCTTTTGCACACTCAGCCTTCCTGCTGGGGAGGCACAGAGCTCCTCAACCCCCCCTGGAGACCTGCTACCACCTCTCTTCCCTCTCCTCTCTGGGCAAATCCCACCTTGTTTAAGAAGGTGGACTCTCTTTAGCGGTGTGTTGGACTGAGGAGTGAGGAGAGACGTCCACTGCTGGGAGGAGAGAGGAGTCGGCACCGGAGGGCTGGGATCCTTCCTCGGTTAGGTATTTCATATCCGTATACGGAGTATATACGTGTATCCAGATCTATTTATTATTAGATGCTTTTTGGCACCATTTGTCTTCATGCTCTCTGTTGCAATCGAATAGGTACGTAAAACTACGATGCGTTTTATGCAGAAATGCCCTAGTTTGAAACTGCAATCATCCACGTCCTTTTTGAAGGAGAAGATAAAAAAAAAAAACCAACAAAAACGGCACGGAGCATCTTTTTTTAAACTCAACAAGGCTATTTCCAGAGACGTCGGTCTGTCCTGTCCCCTGTGCTGCAGGCAGGAGCTGCCTCCTCTGCCCGCTCCTGCACAGACCCAAAGCAGGGTGGGCTGAATCCCGAGGCGAGACGGTTGCCCTCGTGTGCCCTGTGATGGCAGTGGCTTCGGAGGAGTCCGCGGCGATGGCACCCGGCGTCCAGTGAAACTCTCACCTTCCTCGTTTTGTACCGGCTCTTGTGATACTGAGTTCTTGCATTTTTCTACATTAATTGGCGTGATGCCTTTTCCACGTTTTATAGAGCGGGAACCGAAGCTGTTACTCTTCACAACTGCAATATCCGTCACCGGGGACAAGAGTATTTTTATGGAACATTATTAAGAAAGTCTATTTTTTACAGGAAAAAAAAAAAGACCCCAAACAAACGAACATGCTGTGGATCTGAAATCAGGTGGGAGGCAGGAGCTGGACCCCAGGCCAGTGTGTGGGACCGTGGGGAGCACGAGGTTGTCATCTTTGGTTACTTCTTGGCCGTTCCCTTCCTTTGTCAGCGTATTTCTCCGCAGTTGGATGGTGATGCAGGAGAGGCTGGGTCAAAGCAGCACCTCGTCGGCTGCCTTTTTGAGGAGTGGCAGCACTGCTTGTGTCCTCAGCCTCTTGTCCTGCCGTGCCCTCTGAGCTGCTGTCCCTCTCCGGGCTGCGTGATTGGGTTTGCAGTGGCTTGACCCTGGTGGGCAGAACTTCGTGGTGGTGCTGGATGTGGCTGTACGTGGGCAGAGTGTAATCTGGAGTGGCACCTTCTGGCTTCGAGTGGGCAGTTTTGGGATGCTGGTGCTCGGCGCAGAGACGCTGGGTTGTGTTTGGGTGATGAGTGTGCAGGAGGGACCTCTACCCCTGCAGGATCCCATCCCCAACGCTGAGCATCTTGTCCCCCTGAAATAGGGGATTGTATCTCCCTTTCCCAAGTCTCTCCCTGGGAATAGGGCACACCTGGGCAGATGTTGATCCGAGAGATGCTCCGTAGCATCCCGGTGATCTGTCCTCCCTACTTCCCTTCCTCTCTGCTCTGCCTGCTGCTGCTGGAGTTTGCTCTGGTGGGCTGGGAGGGTGGGAGGGAGATCTCTGCCAGGCCTCAAGTGGGCTGCTGCCAGCCTGAGCGTGGTCCCCAGGTGCAGCAGAAGCTGTCCCCCATCTGAAGCATCCTTCCTGGGGCTGGGGGAGAGGAGCTTTGTGCTGAGACTCTGCCACCCTTTGGTGTCACGCCAGCGGCAGGATCAGCCTGAGGCTCCCAGTGAAGGAACTGTGGGGAGGTGGTGATGCATGATACCTGCAGACCTCCTGTGCCGCTTCCCAGCAAGGGTTTGCAGAGAAGGGGTGTGGGAGAGCAATCCCTCTGCGTATCCCTGCTCGGTGAAGTGTCCCTTTGTGGTTTATCCGAGACCTGGCTCCAGCTCCAGCTCTGCTCTAGCAATACGGTCTTGTTTTTTAACCTTGATCTAAATAGTACTGGGTGTTTTTTGGGGCTGTGAGCTCCCTTGAGCCGGGCTAGCGAGGAGGGAAGGGGTCTTCCCTTACCAGCACAGCATTCCTGGCACCTGCCTGGCCCTGGGGATGTCCCTGGTGGGATGGAGAGCACTGGCATCTCTCAGAAGGGACCCAAGAGGGTTCCCCTGTCCGTCCTCAGCTGGGACCATTGGGTCCTGGAGCAGCCTCCATCAGAGCCCTTGCAGGGAGCTCCCTGCCTCTGGGACCGTGCTATTAACCTCTCTGTCTCCTTCCTCCTCCTCCTCTTCCTCCTTTTTTTGCCCTGCAATGCCAGAGCAGGGGCAGCAACGGCTGCTTTTGTAAAGCACTTTATGGCCCAGGCTGCGAGGGCGCAGGCAGGCTCTGCCCGCTGCCGGCCGGGCTGTGCCGGGGCTCCGGCCGTGCTCGTCAGTGTGTTACCCGCCACTTTTTTGCATAACTAGACCTTTTAACGAGACGTACTGTTTTTTGAAGAAGAATTAAATCAATGACGTTATTTGTAGCAAACCATTTTTCTCAATAAAGGCAGTTTCATCCACGGGTGGCCTCCCTGTGCCGTGGTGCGGGACACAGCCTGGAGGGAGGGGGGGGGAAGTACCCCCCACCCTGGCTGCTCCTTCCCCAAACACAGGGCTCCTCGTCGTTACAGCTTCATCCCTGACTCATCAATCCCTCCCGTTAACGGCAGCATTTTGGCAATGCCATTTTGTCACCCCTCCTCCCTGCCCTGGGCTCTTCACAATCCACTGTCCCAGTGCCGGGTGTTGCCAAACCCCTCCCTGGGGGCTGGTGTGCACTTGGGGGGATCCCCCACACCCCATTCCTGACACCCCTTTAGCTCTGCATGCTGGTGGCCATGCTCCCTCCCTGGCAGCCAGGTCCTGGCTCTCGGGAGGGAGGATGGGAGGAGGATGCTTGGCACCATGTGCTGTCCCCAAAGCTCTGCTGGGTGCTGGCCAGGGGAGCGCAGTGGGTGTTTCTCCTGTGGGTGTCCCTGGGAGATGTCCTGGCTCCGAGCCCCCACGGGGCTGTGGGGGTTCCCCAGGGATGTGGGGCTGGCTCTGTGCAGCCAGTCCCTCCAGCTGGGCATGGGTGGCACCCATGTCTCCTCCCTGGGGGGACCAATCCTGGGTGCAGGCACTGGTGTCCCCTCAATTGGATTCATTCTTGTCCCAGCACTGGCCAGAGAGTGGTTCTTCTGGGGACAGTAAGAACTTTGGGGGGACAAGGGCAAAGGCAGATTGCATTGAGGAGTCACCCTACCTTACCAAACAGCCCCTGCAAGGCTTTTGGTGCCAGGAGGGCACCATGGTAGAGGAGATGGGCATATGGCTTTTTGGGGTCTGGCCTGGCAAAGTGGGGCTGGGATGGTGGTGGGGACAAGGTCACACCCTGCAAGTGGCCCTGAGCATCTCCATGGTCCAGTGAGATTCAGGGTGATGGTGGTGGGACCATCCCTGCCGTGGGGGGTCCTACTGCCCTCCCCCCCACCCCTGTGGTGGTGGGGAAAGCCCTGTCCCTGCTGGTGTCACCCCCGGTGCTG